CTGCATTATAGAAACTCGAGAATTAATTATACAGTTGAAGACTTTTAAAAACCCTCTTGATTCTCAAGTTTGAATGAAAAAAAGGTATAGAACCTATTATTTTGAAAGGTTGATTGAGAGCAATGGAAACCGCATAACATTTGCTGATACTTCAAGCAGACCAGGGAACTAAGCTGACTCCGCTATCGCCCGGTAATTTTACGGATGAAATAGTCTCGTGATATGCCAAAAATTGTGTGCTTATATTTGTGTTAGCAAACAAGATCGCAATTTCTTAGGCTTCGATCTGTCTCACGACATGTGACCTTGTCAGAAAGTTTGCTCGCGTGACATTTCCATTCACGAAATTAATTTAACACATCCTAGTCATAGTCACGAGCTATGCAGTTTTCGTGACCAAAATCTGAGACAAAACCAAAAAACTAGAAGATGACTAACTGTTATACTGCAAAATACTCTACTTTTTGAAAGATACGTGCGTCAAAAATCATCTGCATACTTTAGAGGTTATTTCACCTACGCTGTCTGGTCACTTAGTTTTTTGAATGAACAGTCTTTTCGCTCTTCAGAAAATTAAGTTTGATTACTTTATATGAACAGTTCAGCTTTCGAAATTTTCAATTTTCTAAAGAAAATTGCTGTTCATGGTCAATTCAGTACTACCCTAATTATCTCTTATGTGTTCCTAGTTGAAATCGACATATTTGAGGCGGTCTCTGATTGGCTGGAATTTTTTTTATAATATGTTGCGTCAATTGCTGTGCTGTTGCTGATTTTACAACGCATTTGTTTGGACAACAGAACGTATTGCCGCAGAGTTGGGCGTGAGTACTGCTCATCGTCCGATAGCTACCGTGCCTACCAGAATCATGCAAATTAAGTCCCGGCTGAACGCAGGTGCGTAATCGGGCGTACTTTATCAAATCCCATCCCATGTCTGTCTCCGTCATCACACAGGCCGGAGAGGACGATGGTTCGACTAGCAAATACTCGAGCACGAACAGACCCTTCAGAGAAGCGACCCAGTGTTTCAGGTCGCTAATCGACTGTTCGACCGTCGAGTTTGACGATGTCCACCGTGTGCTACACACCAAGGTGCAACAGGCACGGTGACTTGGGCGTGAATTAGTTTATAGTGATCGTGGACTTGCTCAGCATCTATCGCACTCTCCCCTCCCCACTCCCCACCTGGACTCAGTGTCAAGACAGAGTCAATAAGACCGGAGGCGGGGGAGAGTGCAGGTGGCCGCTTCGGCCGGACCCGCACCTTGGCGTGCCAGCGCACCCCCTGGTCTACAACCGAACCTTGCCTAGGATTTTTCACCAAGAACAACAGCACCTCAACGGGGGAACAGAAGGACGAGGATGAAGGGGCAGTCATGCCCTCCACCTGCATACCCGGCGGGAGCGCAAGCGCATCTACCGGCAGGGAACCAGGTGTCAGGGCACTGCCACCACAGACCCGGTTACGGGGGCAATGGTCTGCTGATACTGGCATGGCGCGCCCTATCAGACCTTTTGACCTAGAAGGGCGACACCTGACCTTGAATCTAACCTGGGTCATCATTCTTAAGGGTTGAGTAACCAAACAGTCGCTAATCACACGCTGGGGGCAGGCCGTGAGTTCGACATTGCGAGTACGGGAGTACTTGCATTAACTGGCAGCATGGCGTGCCGGGGACTGCTGGAGGCGTGGGCGCCTGACACTAACTCCATCGACACGCACGTCACGTGTTACGCCGATGCACTTTCCGACGAATGAAGCACGCCGTGAGACCCCTGTGAGACGTGGGTGATGCATTTGTAAAAACGGAATTACAACCTTCTTTCGAGTAAAAAAATGGAAGACGACGTAATTTGCTACCGAACGTGCCAAAGAATGAATATTTTTATGCGTGTTTTTCCATGAAATATAATTGAATTTTTAAGCGGATCGAAAATCAGTGTGAAAGGGCATGCTTCTTAAGTAGTCATTTTAACAGTGTATAGTTACTGCATATGGCTGGAAAGAAGTTCGATCGAAAGCCGGCATCCTGAGGTAACTGAATTGCTATAGATTAATGCGGCACGATGATTAGTTTTACAACCCTACTTAATTAATCTTTTGGAAACGAAAACCCGTTTCGGAATTTCGGTGGACATTTAATGATTTAGACCACCTATTGTAAATAAATAAGAACTGTCGATGGATATTTCCTATGAGGACGAATTTCTTCAATGGTTATAGTTCAAGAGAATCATTGTGCGTAACGTGAACTTCGAAAATGGATCCATCTCCTATGGCTGGTTCATGTAAATAAAAAAATGTACTCGGTAGAAACGCATTTGATCGGATGAGATTTATGCTTGTGCAGAATGAAACGTCAAAGGTTGTGACCCGGCAAGAATAAGCAAAATTAGCAGACAATCACTGATTTTAATTTTTGCTCGAGTCTGGTTACATCGCGCTCCAGGCCCGAGACACTGCGTGTATAAGTAATAGACCCACCCTTGTGCATTTATTCGGATACTTTCAAGCGTATCACTTAGGTTTTCCTGTCGGCTAATCCGAAGTATTCATGGATAGAAACGTTGTTTCTAACATATCTTGACCACAATATGAGTATTATGCTATCAATTGCACACTGCTTGTTTCGGGTGTGTAGTTACAGGACACACACTGTTCATTCGGCTCTTAATGCAGTATGACCATGGTTAAAATGTAGGCAAATCAAAGAGAAACAGAAAACGGGAACAAATTAAAGTTACAGCAGGTGCGAAAGTCGCTTTCGTCAGTTGTCTGAACCCGAAGACAGTCTGAACAGCAGCTGCTTACAAAAGTTGTATGCGGTTTTGCTAACAACCATCGGCGGATGTTGAGAACCCATAATATTTGATAAGACAACCCAGTAGGACCTCCTTACACCAAGTTTCCCTTTGAAAATTCCGAAAAGGATGAGCGAACTAGCAGATAACTGGACGGCATAATCTTAAGGAAAACAGTCTCCGTATTCTTCGCCGTCAACACTTGTAATGAGTGCATTTGCATGCAAGTGAACAACTAACGCACTACGAAGTGTATTGCAGACTTGGGGCAGCTTCGGAAGCCAAGAACCCTAAGCCAAACGCAGATTGCGCAATCATACGTGCATGACACGTGAGCGGTCAGTCTAACCATAGGTAGGCATTGACAGAAAGGCGAAAAAACGTCTGAGTCGTTAACTTCTAATTCGCTTTCCGTCAATAAGACTCCTGGACCTTTTTTCCTCATTACTATGGCCAGGCTTTACGACTCTCAGACCCAGTTCCGAGTAGAAAGAGACGGAGTTAGGGTGCCTATGCTCTGCTGAATTTCGACACTGTCCCCTCCGTGGCTTTTTACCGTCCCCCTTTTCCCTCTTAATCTACCGGAAGGCTGTGTTACGGGAGTATGCGACTACACCACCCTCGGTTACACCAAGCATTGCTTTGCACGCGCATCCTGGCGCATGCATCACGCTCTGCTTGCACATCGCCATCTCTTCCGAATCCTGAAAGTGGCTAGGTTTTTCATGTTGACAGTTTTGTCATTTCGACGGTTCCTTTGCCATGTCCATGTCACAATGTGCTCGTTCGTCCACCTTGGGATTCTATTTAGTTAACCGGTTGAGATTGCGCCGCCCTTACCTTCATAACCCAGCGAGCGGCTGTGCTACGTGGGGAGTGTGTATGCGCCACCTGCGGTTACGCCAAGTAACGCCTCACACGCGCTTCGGTTTGTGTTCGCCTTCTCTTCCCAAGCCAGTGTCCAGCTAATTCAGTTTTGCTGTCCGTACTGCTTTGCATTGGATGGTACAATCGACGGCTTCCTTTGAGTACGAATCACCTGTAGAATCCGCACACGATTCTACTTGTCTTTGCGTGCGCTTTCAGCGGTCTTTCTTACAGGAACTTACTGCGGGACTGGATCTCTGGGGAGTGTCTGTGCTTTTTCGGTTCAGCTCAGCTTTATTAAGGGAAAGAAAGGCGAGCGTATTTGAACTCCCTATTGGTTACAAATCGTTTGAAAATAGCACTGACAAGTGGGAAGTTAAAAAAGAGATTTTGGACATAATTGCGTGTGAAAAGGAGAAGGCTGTTCGGAAAATCGAGTTGCACTTGTGAATTTTCAAGTCGGTGACACCGATCCGTCGTCAGACGAAATGAACAGAGCGAAAGTGAAATGGGCAGACTAGGTCGGCTGGCGCGACAGGACAGACAACGACAAACAGACAGCTGATGCGTGAGAGGGGTGGACACCGAGCTATGGTAGGCTGTGGGGCAGGGGGAGGGAAGGAAAGAACCGTTAGGGCTCCCTGTGTTGGAGGTGGAGAAAACGCGGGGGGATTGTGGATCGGTGGGAATGCGGGCGGCTGGTCACTGATGTGGGATGAGGTCAGGGGGCAATGCGCCGGCGTTGGAAGTGTTAGGGGGTTTCGGTTGTTGTTCACCGTGTCGCAAGGGGGGTGCGGAATGGCGGTGCCCACCCCTCTCACGCATCAGCTGTCTGTCGTTGTCTGTCCTGTCGCGCCAGCCGACCTAGTCTGCCCATCGACGGGTCGGTGTCACCGACTTGAAAATTCACGAGTATAACTCGATTTTCCGAAGAGCCTTCTCCTTTTCATTATATCACCTCGGAATTCACAGCACATCAGTTATTCAATAATTGTATGCGAGAGGCAACTGACCGCTAAACGAAAAATAGTGATCATTAACGTTTACTTACACACTGTAGATAGTATAAACATATATAATTTAGGTGACGAGCTATGTGACTGAATGTAGCTTGTTATTGGGAAGCTTGATACGCGCTGAGTCTACACTTAAATGATTCCAGAGAGGAGATGAGTAGAACATCAATAGGCAGGGCATTCCACGCTGCAACCACCCTGTTACTGAAAAAGAACTTTCGTTCGTTGACCCTTGTCTTACCTGCGCGTAATTTCAGGGGATGATCGCCTAATAAGTTGCAATGTAGCCCTGGCCTACATGGTCGTCTTCGCTCAGTGCAGTTTTGGTTTGAGTGAAGATGTAATCCGCACACCCAAGTCATTCAGACTGACAACTTGCTGCAATTGAGTATCATAAAGAAAGCAAGCCTTGGGGCTGGAGGCTCTGCAGCTGCCGAGTTGAAGAAAGTTGCACATATTCACATTGACGGCCATAAGCCAGTGCTTCGGCCAGTCCTCGAGCCCGTTCAAGTTTAATTGCAGGTGGTATCCGTCTGTCGCATTGTGAATAACTTCCCACGATTTTATGCCGTCAACAAACAGGATGGCATCACAGTCTAGGTCCTTGACGCAGACATTTAGGAAAGCAAGGAATAATGTGGGGCCCAAGACCGAGCCCTGTGGGACGCCGCTCACCACGTTGACCTCTGAGGACTGCTGGCGTCCGACCTGCACTATTTGGGACAGTTCAGTCAAAAGCTCCTGATCTATGCAAAAAGGCGTCCATGAATTCTTCCGTTGCGCAGTTTGTGCAAGAGCTGTTGATGGGGAACGCTGTCGAAGGCTTTTTTGAAGTCGATGTAGATGGCGTGCACCGAACTGCCTTGGTCTAGCGTTCGAGTGAAAAGAGCACATTAGTGAGACAGGACCTACCACTTCGAAAGCCGTGTTGGGCATCGGAGAGGAGATGATTCTGCTCGAGGAACTGTATCAACGCTTTCTTGATGATTTTCTCCATGATTCTGCAACAGATGAATGTAAGACTCACTGGCCCGTAGTTATTCACAAACACATGACTTCCTTCAAGACTTTCCCCACGCTAAATTACAAATTCTCAGTGTACATTTTGTGCGGTTATCTGTTGCCCCGTCTTCCTTTAACTTAATTACCTTAAGGAAGGATTCCTTCGCGTCCTTATAAACAGTAATATTAGCTAATATGCCTCAGAGACACCGGAAATAGCTGTTCGGGTAAGTTCAAAACCCGGCTTCGGAAGAAGGGTGGGCATCCGTTTCCGTACTTCGTCGGTTTGACGAGAACTTCATGTAGGTTACAGTTTTCAAGCGTTACACTTACACTTACCCGCTACTTAATACAGATGAGAGATCCTCCTTTCGGCATCAGCCATTAACCGGACAGGCGTCAGCTACGTGCTTAAAAAAGGTTTCTCAGACTTCGGGATGATCTCTTGTCTTTAGGTCGAACCACGGCCGGTACTGTGCTTCCTCTACCTTGGCTCACAGTGCTCTTTTCGATATCGGACCTTTCGCGGAGTTTTCGCTTCTGTCTACTCCAGTACGCCTCGATGGCATTCGTATTTTTTTCATTTTGTCTCTTTGTCCTACGTCATTACCTGCGCTGTTTCTCATTTTCCTCACACAGCTTGCGAAATGATCTTGTCTTTGCCTTTCAATTTCCGATTGGTTACTTACTTTTTATCGCACTTTCCTCCTGTCAATCACGGCGATTTCCGCAGATTGTTTATAAATCCTTTTCCCTTTTTATTTTCGTATTTTTTACCTTCCTTAAACAGTCCATGTTTACTTGTCTATGCGTACTGTTAGCATTCCCATATTTTCCTGACTCAGTCGGCCTTACCCAGGGCTTTGTCTATGAAGCCCCCATTACCACTATTATCGTATTACATGTGCCCTTAGTTTCATTTTTTCAGCTGGGGTTGCGGGACCAAAGCGCACAGAATTCTGTATAGAAAGATCAGAGGGAACCTTTCGACAAGTTGGTAGCAGGACAGGACGTACTTCCAGAGCCGAGTGGGCCGGCGGCCCGGGTGGCAGTGGGGAATGCGTCACACCGCCTTGGGCGAGAGCACGTCTCCATACTCGTATTGCGTCCTGCAATCAAGGCCCACATTTCGAAGCAACGAAGTTGAAAGCGGCCAATGTGCTATGATTCCATTTGGGTTATCGAGTAAATTACACTCGCGAACTCGCCTTGAATGCGTGTCCGTCTTTAAGAAATCTCCAGTCCCTTGACAGGAATGCTTTATGCGCCTATTTGATCTTTATTACCCCCGCCACGAAAGATAATAGTCATTTGATTGTTATTTCCCGAGGTTATTGATAAGCATAATAGCAGCTTTACTGTCAAGCACCTGGAGAGCGTCATCAGTGTAAAGTGGACACCTTTTTGAATAGTAGTATGTGTACAACAACTCTGGCTTAGAATACTAGGCATGCTGACATCTTAGCGACCATATTAGACTCCAAATGAGGGTGGGCGGCAAGAAAATTGCGACTTTATATGGCACGCACCCAAACAATATTTTGGGGCGACAAGGTTGGTTGAGGAGGACATATTGTGCCCGAAGTTCACGATTTCTCACGAGAGACCGTGGCGGCTGCAACCGAACGCGGAATGGATGAGGTGAGCGGACGTGCTAACTCGAAGACGGCCTCCACATATGCGGCGAGGGATGAGAGATTCCGTATCCCTGGACTGAAATCGGACAAATACAGCTCAAAGTCCACTGGATGGCCGAACACAGTCGTCAATTCTTCCTTTCAAATCTTACGCTCATGATGATTATTTACTCTAGGAATTTAATGGAGACGTGCCCGTAGAAGATTAGCCTTGGTTGAAATTAAGAAAGGCGGCGACCAGGGTCGACGTAGACTCGGATGATCAACGCGAGGTCAAAATCAGCTGATGAAACGTGATCATGCCGCGCTTAACAGCCTACGGAGCGTACAGCATCCTCATGCACCAATGTCGACCAAAAACCATCGTCATTTTAACACGCGGAAAGAGAAGGGAATTGCTACAGGAGCTTAATTAGCTTCCCGTCAGCTTGCTGAATACTTACATATTTATAGTTCCCACGCATCCGATGGATCCTTGTTGTGGCGCCACTTCATTGATTATAAAATTCTCCCAGCTGCCGTTGTTAATTTTTTTCCGCAAAATTCTTGTAATTCATACTTTTCCGTCTAAATGTCCGTTAAGGCACTTTGGTAACTAATCAACGTAACCAACAGTTCCTGACACTTTGCTCAACAAGAACACCGAGTCATACCCGGTGTAACAGTTTTACTCATTCTAAAAGACTTATTTGGGTCTATGGTGAGTGCAAAGCTTCAGTTCACGAACAACTGCTCATTGCCGATACCGTTTAAATCTGCCCTCCACATACTTTACTAGTGTTCCGTTTTCTGGGGGCGCTGAGAATAGAGCAAGCAATTTTATCAGAAACGTCACTTGGCCACTCTCCGCTAGAGGTATTCAGAGTACATTTCATAAATGCTAGATGGCCTTCGTGAACATCAGGCTAGGGCTACTGTCTTTATGGTCCTTCGCAAATATTGCTGGAGCCTTGAATTCTGTCAATAAAGAAATCGTATGTGAGGTCTATTTCTTGTGGCCTAAGGACTGGGCGCGCTGTGGACTGCCAGCTTATCATAGTGAATTTCAGGCGTATTGAAATGAGTGGCAGTATTGATGTTTGAATCTTGTTACATCGTTGACCAAGTGGAGAACTTTCTTGCATTCTCTAGAACAACGTTCAGTGTCCTCGGCTGGTCCAAGTCATCCGTCGAATCTTCTAGCTGGCCCAACCTGAAGGCCTTATGTCATTTAAATGCCAGAAAAGCTTATATCATGACATGTTTCACTGAAGCGTCAAAATCAGGCTCGGACAGAACCTTTATGATGGCACTCTATTTACTGCGTTATAACCGATGCCCCTTGGTTCTAATGGGAGATGTTGGGGCCTGGCAGAGTCGGACGGCCCAATGTATTGTGGATATAACATATATGTGTTCCGAAGTATCCATTAATTTCTTATTTTCTGAACATGTTCTATTTCTGCAAATCATTTTTCGGAGTGCGTTCTTAGCAGGTCGTGTCCGTGTGGTTTAATTTTACCGGTGGTGTTGCTTAATAGGAGAGTAATGGTTTAGGAGACTGGTTCCAAAAACATGCACTGGAGGTGCGGTCACTCAACTCGCTTCTAGTCTTTTTCATTCAGCGACTCGTACGGATTTCATGGTAATTAATATTGGTTGTTTCCATCCACGGCGTGGTTTAACGCCTAGGACTTCTCGGCCAAAAATGCAGCTGAGGTCGAACTGTTCCCCAAGCCAAATGAACAAACAACATCTGTCCATAGTAAAATTAGTTCAGAAAAGAAACTGTTAAAACTGCCATAGAGGCTATATTTAAAAGGAGCCATTGAAGCCTGACAACCCGTTCTATGGGGCGGACATTTGGCACCCAAGCGAGAATAAGCCCTCGGCACTTGTTGCATACACAGTGGTAGGAATCATGTGATCACTGCACCCGAGCGGACAGAACATGAGCACGTTCAGCCTCGGGGGTAGCCAATCACAGATGCCCACAGACTCTATTTTCACCGATTCAACTGACCAAGCTGAAAGAGACTGGCTTGCGCATGAAGCTTATTCATGCACGTCCACACCACTCTAGCGAAAGGATTCGCACGTAAGGGCTCTCACCTCCGCCGAACTTTTGCACAAAATGCACGAGTTCTACGGGGGACTTTTCCCTTCTGCTCGAAAACGGACTTGAGCCGTGATTATTGTGTGGCTCCGGGTACACTTAATAATTTAGATGCTAGGGGCCAAGTTATTCAGTCAGTTGGCAGCCTTTAGCGCCTCGTGGTAGATCCAAAACCCGTAAGATTGTTTTTAGGGAAGGATGCACTGACAGTAGGTGGGCTAACCGAAATTCCGAATTGCGGTTTCGTTTCGAAAAGATTAATTAAGTAGAGTTGTAAAATTAGTCAGCCTGCAACATAATTCTATAATATTTCAGTTACCTTAGGATGCCGGCTTTCGAATGAAATTTCTTCCGGCTGCGTGCGAAAACTACACTCTGTAAAAAATGACTACTTATGTAGCTTAAATTTTTCTCACTGATTTTCGATGCCCCTAAAAGACCAATAATATTTCATGGACAACATACATTAATATCTGAAACAT